CCGAGTTCATGGCGGCATCCGCCGCTTCGACCCAGGCGCTCTGGCTTGCTCGACTGCTTGGTGATCTCCTCAGCAGAGACACTGGAGCGGTAGAGCTCAGGGTGGATAGCAAGTCCGCTCTGGCCCTGGCAAAGAACCCCGTTTTCCACGAACGGAGCAAGCACATCCGGGTGAGGTACCACTTCATCTGAAGCTACTTGGAGGAAAGGAGCATCAAGGCGAGCTACATCAACACCAAGGACCAGCTTGCGGACTTGCTTACCAAGCCTCTTAGGAGGATCAAGTTCCTCGAGCTCTGCTCCAGGATCGGGATGGCCCAACTTTCCCACAAGACGACGCACAAGACTTAGGGGGAGAATGATGGAATAAGCCTTGTGGTCTTTGGTCCTTCTCTTGCTTTTAGGTTGTTTTTCTCCTTTTAGGACAGCATCCTTTCAGTTTTCCTTTTAGCATCTTTCGGTTTTGCTTTTAGCATCCCTAGGACAGCATCTAGCATCTCCTTTATGCTTTATTCAGTTTGGATGCTCTCTAGGACAGCATCGCGTTCAAATTTTAGACTAGTGTGGGCAGCAATTAGCTAGCAGCCATCCAGCCAGCTATGGCTATGTATATATGTATCCAACCTCCCTCGGGAAGGTATGGCTTTTGTGTTTTGTGAATGAAGAAAACCAGAAAATTGCCCCATCTCGAGTGCCATCCTCTTCTCAATGAGAGTAACCATTGAAATTCTAACAGCGTTCCTCGACGACATTCGCTACTGGTTGGAGCAGGCTCAGCAACATGCAAAGAGGTTCTACGACCACCACCATCGGGAGCTGCAATTTGCGGTGGGCAACTGGGTTTGGCTCCGTCTCATTAGCAACTCCGGTGAAGGGCAAGCTCGGGCCACGCTACTATGGACTGGAGATCATCAACAAGGTGGCATATCACCTCGCTCTGCCAGCCGGGGCGCGTTTGCATGATGTGTTCCACGTCGGCCTTCTCAAGCCGTTCGTGGGCTCGCCGCCGACTACGCCGCCAGCGCTACCTTCGACCCAGCACGGTGCAGTGTTGCCTGCGCTAGCCCAAGTGCTCAAGTCTCGTGTTTCTCATGGTGTGCGTCAGCTGCTCGTCCGTTGGGATGGTTTGTCGGCGTCTGCAACGTCTTGGGAGGATTTGGATGATTTCCGCACTCAGTATACTGTGTTCCAGCTCGAGGACGAGCTGTTTGTCGAGGAGGGGAGAGATGTTATGTGGGGCATTCCATACCGACGTCGAAACCGTGTGCAACAGCCGGAGCATGCGCCATGAGGGAATGGATCAAGTTTGTTAAGATTAGTTTCAGTTGTTAGTGGATTAAGTTTGTTAGAGGATTAAGTTTGTTAGTCCCTTGTTAGTAACTGTTTGGTTTTCATTGTAAGGCAACATATGCCATTCGGTTTGAGGAATCAAGTAAGCAAGAAGTAATCCCATTTCCAGTTCGTTTGCAACCACGGCTCCGGGGCGGCGAGGCATGCGATCTCGTCTTCCCATCGAGCATAGCTATGCGCTGCGCCGTCTAGGGCCGGTGCCTAACAGTTTCTCCATCTCGTTCCTGTTTTGTTCATACCGCCGATGGATCTCCTCTTCCTGTTGTAGGGCAGGGCACTCTTTTATCAAACTCTTTTTCTGTTCCTGATGTTTCTTGTGTGCCTGATCTGACCATGCAGCATATGTCCGCTGGTCAACTTGCTGATCGTAACTATCGTGTGATTCTTGACCCTAATTTTTGTTATATTCAGGATCGTTGCACAGGTCAGTTGGTTGGTACTGGCCCTCGGCGCCGTGATTCACAGCGTCTCTGGGAGCTTGACTGGATTCATCTTCCTTCCACTGCGTCCGCCAGTCTTGTTGGCTCTGTTTTTGCTGCATCGTCCACCTCGTCCTTCGCTCAGTGGCATCATCGTCTGGGTCATATTTGTGGCTCTCGCTTGCCCACTATGATTCGCCGTGGTCTTTCAGGGCATGTTTCAGGTCATGAGTCTTTACATCAGTGCCAGGGATGTCGGTTAGGCAAGCAGATACAACTTCCCTATCATTCTAGTGAGTCTGTCTCAGTGTCCTTTTGATCTTGTTCATTCAGATCTATTGGGCCCTGCTCCCTTTGTTTCTACAGGGGGCATCGATATTATATAATTTTTATAGATGATTTTTCTCGTCACACATGGATTTACTTTATGAAACATCGTAGTGAGGTTTTATCCATCTATAAGACTTTTACTACTATGATTCGCACTCATTTTGACACATCTATCCATGTCTTTCGTGCTGACTCCGCAGGAGAATATCTTTCGGGAGCTCTACGGCATGTTCTCTATGAGTATGGCACTCTTGCTCAGTTTTCTTGTCCTGGTGCTCATGCTCAGAATGGCGTTGTTGAGCGCAAGCATCGTCATCTTCTTGAGACTGCTCGTGCTCTTTTGCTCGGTTCTTGTGTTCCTCCTCATTTTTGGGCTGAGGCTGTCTTTACTGCCAACTATTTGGTTAATATTCAGCCTTCATCAGCTCTTCATGGAGGGATTCCTTATGAGCATCTATGTAGCAAATTGCCTGATTATTTCGGCCTTCGTCTTTTTGGCTATGTGTGCTATGTGCTTCTTGCACCTCGTGAGCGCACCAAGTTGACCGCTCAGTCTGTTGAGTGTGTTTTTCTAGGATATAGTGCTAAGCATAAGGGAAATCGTTGCTAGGATCCTGTTGGTTGTCGGATGCGGATTTCTCGAGATGTTGTTTTTGACGAATCTCGTCCTTATTATCCTTGTCCTTCTTCAGACACCACTTCTGCATCTTTAGTTGACCCACTCTCCTTCTTGTTTTTACCTGATGCCTCTATTGCCAGTACACGCCCGGTACCTCCTCCGTCGGCACCTTCTGATGTGGTGCCTTCTTCCCAGGCGCCATAACCTTCTCATCTAGTGCCCTCTTCTCTGGTGCCTTCTCCTCGTGAATCTTCTACATGTCCTTTGGCACCTGACTATTTTGAGAAGCCACCAGTATGACTATTTTACGGTCAACGTGTTCAGCCTTCCACTCCTGATGTGCCTTCCTCTCCTGATGAGCCTGTCTCTCCGAATGTGCCATCTTCTCCGCTTGACGTATCTTCCTTTGAGGATTCTTCGCTGGAGCATTTCTCAGACGTTGTGATCGTACTACTCGTCGGCGTCCTGATTTTTATTCTCCTTCTGCCTATTCTACCACGGCTCTTTCAGAACCTACCTCTTATCGTGATGCTATTCTTCATCAGGAGTCGCAGCTTGCTATGGCTGAGGAGATTGCTGCTCTTGAGCGCACTGGCATGTGGGATCTTGTTCCTCTTCCTGCGCATGTTTGTCCTATTACTTGTAAATGGGTCTATAAGGTTAAGACTCAATCTGATGGTTCTCTTGAGCATTATAAGGCCCGTCTGGTTGCTCGTGGTTTTTAGCAAGAGCATGGTCGTGACTATGACGAGACCTTTGCGCATGTTGCTCATATGACTACTGTTCGCACTCTCTTTGCTGTGGCCTCTATCCGTGAGTGGTCCATCTCTCATCTTGATGTCAAGAATGCCTTTCTTAATGGTGAGTTGCATGAGGAGGTGTATATGCGTCCTCCACCTGGTTATTCTATTCCTGAGGGTATGGTTTGTTGTCTTCGTCGCTCACTTTATGGTCTTAAGCAAGCTCCCCGCGCTTGGTTTCAGCGCTTTGCCTCTGTGATCACTGCTGTTGGTTTTTCCCAGTAATCATGATCCCGCGCTTTTTGTTCACACTTCCGCTCGTGGTCGGACTCTTCTCCTTCTTTATGTTGATGATATGATCATTACGGGAGAAGATTCTGAGTATATAGCCTTTGTGAAGGCGCGTCTCGGTGAGCAGTTTCTGATGTCTGATCTTGGTCCTCTTCGTTACTTTCTTGGGATTGAGATTTTCTCTACACCTGAGGGTTTCTAGCTGTCCCAAGAAAAGTACATCCATGATCTTCTTGATCGTACTGCTCTCACTGATCATCGCACAGTTGAGACTCCCATGGAGCTTAATGTTCACCTTTGTGCCACCTATGGTGAGCCTCTCTCTGATCCTACTCACTATCATCATATTGTGAGTAGTCTTGTTTATTTTGGTGTCACTCGTCCTGATATCTCCCACTCTGTGCATATCCTGAGTAAATTTGTTTCGGCTCCTACACAGCTTCACTATACTCGCGTGCTTCGTGTTCTGCGTTATCTTCGTGGGACTATAGTTCATCGTTTGTTCTTTCCACGCTCTAGCTCTTTGCAACTCCAGGCATATTGTGATGCTACCTGGGCCAGTGATTCCTCTGATCGTCGATCTCTTTCCGCCTTTTGTGTTTTTCTTGGTGGTTCTCTTATTTCTTGGAAAACTAAGAAGCAAACAGCAGTTTCTCATTCGAGTGCAGAGGCTGAGTTGCATGCTATGGCTCTTGTGATAGCGGAGGTTACTTGGTTACGGTGGTTGCTTGAGGATTTTGGTGTTTCTGTTTCTATGCCGACTCCTCTTTTGTCTGATAGTACCGATGCTATCAGCATGGCTCGTGATCCGGTGAAGCATGAACTTAGTAAACATGTTGGTGTTGATGCCTTTTATACACGAGCGCAGGTACAGGATGGTGTTGTTGCTCCTCGTTATGTGCCCTCAGAGATTCAGTTGGCTGATTTATTTACAAAGGCACAGACTGGAGCCCAGCATAGGTTTTATCTCTCCAAACTCAGTGTTCTTGATCCACCCTGAGTTTGAGGGGGGTGTTAGATGTATATGTATTCTTGTATTTCCCCATTGTGTAAGGGGCTTTTGTGCATATTTACCCACTCCTGTACCTGTATATATTTGGGCCTAGTGCCCATATAATGAACAGAAGTGCTATTCATAACAGGGTCAACGCTATAATTTTTAAATATTACGAAGCATGACATTTTTCTCATTTGAGAAAAAAAGGAGAGAGAAACATCAAAGTTTCTTTACCATACATTTTAAAAGACTTACCAAATTGGGTTTCAGTTGATGTGCTTTCATTTCTTCAAACAAGTGCAATGCCAACTTCAAGTCTTTGTTTTCAACGCATGCCTGTAAGAGAAAAATATAGCATAAACTTACTTATCAAACTACAACATTTTTTAACCTTAATTCGGTGAACTATGTTAATGTTAATTAACAACCAACCTTAATAGCAACAGTATATGCAGTGACATTAAGTTTCATTCCAACACGTTGCATTCTTCTGAGTGCCTGTGCCCAAACAAAAAGGAAGGTTAATATTATTGTTCAAAATATTACTACACTTAAAGGTAAAATCATCATAGTCCATGTTTAGCAAGCAAGGAATAAGCAACGTATTTTTTTAAGGGAAGCGACGCATTGTATTACCCACATAAAAGAGTGGTTTAATGCTAAGCCAGTTCTTATGATTCATATCTAGCTGCATTGGAGTTCTTTGAGGGCACATTGTAATTGTAGGATAAAACTTGACAATCATTGAAATGCGGCAATATGGAATTCAATTTTAGACTGATAGGAAGTGATGGAGGCACCATAATATTATGAGCTGTACAGTAAATAGCATGCACTTGATCCATAGGTGGAGATAGGATTATTTGCAAACATACCCAAAAAAAATGAAGACTAGTGTTTAACTGTAAAAATATACTTTAAGGTCTTCCACATTGTCCACAAAATTAACTAATTTTCAATCTACAAGAGGCATAATCAGTTCTGTAGAATGGAAAAGGTCAATGTGGTATTAAAAGAGACCCTATTTTAGTTGCAGCAACCAGAGATATCAGGGAAAATGCCAAATCATCATATAGTATGCACACAAAATATCAACTTCAAGCTTAGGCCTTTGGAAATTACCTGAATAGCTCCATCCCTGTTTTGAGATGACCCATAAATATCCATCAGAATAGACCAGCTAATAAGGTCAGGGCAAAGGCCATTTCGCCTCATTTCATTCATTACAGATTTTGCGCGTTCTCCATTTGTGCCACAGGCCTTCATTAGAATATTATATGTTGTAACTGTTGGTCTAAATGGAACCACTAACAGAGTACTGCTGTTACTTGTATGTTCTTCACAGTATGAGAAGTTGTCACCAAAACATCCTTTCTGTTCAGGGGATAGAGATATCTTGACTCCATATTCTTTCCAGTCATAGAACAAGCGGAAAGCTCTATCATACTGGCATGACTTAACACAACCAGTAAGGATAATATTGAAGCATGGAGCAGTAGGTTGACAACCATCCCTTGTCATTTCTTCAAGTATCTCTATGGCACGGTCAACTAAACCAGAATTTGCATAGGCGTTGATTAATGATGACCATGTGACTAGGTTAAGACGAACACCAGCTGATTGCATATCCTGTTTGATGTCGGAAGCCAGCTTCCACATTTTTGCATCTGCAAACACCTGGAATTTAAAAGAGAGAAGAATTCTGGAAACCATAAAAAGGCAGCAAAACTTATGGAAAACAATAACTGGAGCTCCATACCTTCATCATTGTACTGTATGTAAAAACATCTAACTTTAAAAGACCGTTCTGTTCCTTTTTCTTAATTTCCTCATAAATTTCTTGAGCCAACTTATACTCCTTAGCGTTGCAGCATGTCTTCAGAAGAATGTTATATGATGTCAAATCAGGAGGGACGCCAAGATTCTGCATAAATGGAGTAAACGGGAGCATAAGTTCGCTGCACTGTAACCCAAGTTATCCCATTATAAATGAAGATAAAATATGAATGCACGATCAAATGCAGAACACACATGGACAGATAACAACAAGGAAGAACATGAGTTGGAAAATGGATGTGTAGTAGAAAAGGAATGATTATTGCAATGCAACATGTAATCGCTTAAAGCTAAAATGGCCTACCTATGGACAATGAGAAGAAGGTAGAAAATGCATTACTTGCATGTGCTTGTAGACTGAAAAGTTGTAGCTGAAGCTATGGGCATTCACATTCATAAGGCTGTTGAAGACATAGACATTTGGAGTAATCTTATCAGCAAGAAGCCCCTGCACAGAAGTCACAGACATGAGAGAAGGCTGAACCTCCCTACCTGAATTAGTGTAGCATTAGTCTACAAATAATTGGTGAAACAGTAATCTCTCTATTTTATTGGATATAACCCTGTTAGGTAGTTAGATATTCCTTTTCCCTAATTTTTGTAATTTCTCCTTTTGGTTGTAATTCACAATTAGATGTAAGAGCCAAAAGGAAAAGGCAAGAAAAGAAATACATAGAAGCCATGTCTGACTTGTCTACCACCTCTAAGGAATATCTGATGATTGCCCACCAACAAGGGGCCTGTTCGGACGCCTGGACTGCGGCTGCGCCACAGCCAGCACGAACAGTGCCATAGGCACAAGGCAGCTGCAGCCAGCCAGCCAGCCAGCAGCTGCTGTACCCCCTTGTTTAACAGGCCCAAGATTTTGGGAGCACAGATTTACGTAACTGTATAGGTGTACTAATCACTCACTAACATCCTTAAAATAGAGATTATCTAATTGATTTACAAAAGGAGTTTCCAGATTGATAAATCACAATGGGACTAAAAGCAACTGTGATTCATGGTGGTTTGAAATGCTTTCACCTGGATGTTATTTACGGTGGTGTAAAATGTTTCCTCATAGATCTTCCACTTTTTCACTCTTACTTATGAAAGTAGAAACATAAAGTGTGATCTCAAAGAATATCTATACCTCGAATATAATTCGAGCCTGCACAGAAGAACCACAATGACCACATATGTCGATGATACTTCGGCATGCAAACATATTGATACCTCCAAACTGATCCTTGAGTGCTCCAAAGACTGTTAGAGCATGCTTTAACTCCTTTCTTTTCCCAAAAGCTTCCATTGTATTGCACAGCAAAAGTTGGGATTGAGGAAATATACGTGCATACCTATGTCCAAAATATATGCATCAGCAGGTAGCAGTATAGCCAAGAGAAAAGTTATAACTTGTCCCAAGAATTTCAAGGATGAAATCATCAGATAATATTAATGGTTTGCATAGATTTTAAAAGAACTCTTCAGGGGAAAGTGTCCCAGATATTAGAAACAACCTTGATGTGATCATTATTTGGGTAAATCACTAAAAGTCAACACGTGATGAAGAGGTATGTAGCAGGCAGGCTCACCTTATTGCCATATTTGGGTCACGCTTCTTGACAAATATTTTCAATACATCCATCGGATCCACAATGCCTTGAACAAAGAATCCACACTCTGAGCAAATCAAAGAACAAAAGAAAACCTTAAAAATGGTATTTTTCAGGTTCAAACCAAAATAACTACTACAGCACATTAACGTCCTAAACTTGATGTAGGAGGAATCCACAAACAAATTTAACATGAATAGTGTTGAGTATGAATTACTAGCAAGCAAGCTATACAGAAAACAAGATAAAAAAAATACTGTGTGTTGATAACATGTAAGTAAGAGCACTCCACCAGTAACTAATCATACTCACATGGTAGCATTATCGGATACACAACGACAATGCACAAAGCAACCAACGCCAAGAATTAAGGGTCACAGAATGTTTATACTCATGCATACCAGAGAGGTTACGCTACTACTAAGTTCATTACAAGTCCACGGAGCAATTAAAAACAGAGAAAGGTATATCAACACTATACTTAATCATATACATAAAAAATAGAATCATTAGAACTGAAGAAACAGTGAATGGTAACTAGTACTATATCATACTACAAATGACACTGATGGGAAATGTATAGTGCATGGGATTCATCAACAAAGGGAAACACAGTAAGACTTATACTAGTCTAACAGTTATATTCTCCTAGTAAGTAAAGTCATTTGCATTGCAGTGGTAGAAACAAAAAAAAAACACTGTGTATTGCAGTGGGTAAACATCATGAACAAAAAGTTACTTAATGAGAGCACATGAGTATGTTATAATTAGCTGATCAACCATAAGTCACTGCACAGGACCTAATGCAGCAACTTAGCTAATGGTACAACTAAAATAAAACAAAACCAATCAAATCAAATAGATAAATGAACTGTGGAGTGTGATGTTTACATTTGGACCGCAAGTCCACAACCACAACCTAACTACCTAAGTACTTAGATTTACATAGATATAGGAGTACATCATACTACAGTGCATTAGCTAACAAATTAACAGTAGGTTGGAATATGGATCAATGCATCTAGAACTAAATATACTTACTGGAGTTTATAGCGCCCAAACACACTTACAATTTCTAAACACTGATGAGGGTAGATAAGTTATTGGTATTGGTGAGTAGTACAATGGAGAACTAAATCGCGATTAATGGAGCACCAGTCCAAGCTAGGCACATCAATTAACTGAAACATGAATGAATGGAGGTTGGGTGCGACGACATTACGAGCTAGCGCCTCCACGGCCTCGACGAACTCCGTCATGCTGCGCTCAGCCAGCAGTAGCCGGCAGGCGGCCGCGACGGTGTCGTAGGCGTCAGCGTCGAGCATCACGGCGGCGCGGATCCCGACGCGGCCGGCGTCGCGGAGGAACTCGAGCACGTGGGGAAGCCCCTGGTCGCGGAGCGCCGCGGCGACGCCGCGCGAGAGGAGGCGCCGGCTGATGCGCCCCTCGAATCCAGCGTCCCCGGAGGCCGCGCGGAGGCCCTCGGCGGCGAGGAGGAACTCCCGGAGCCGCCCCGCGCCCACGAGGTTGGATGCGACGCGGGAGTAGTACTTGATGGCGGTGGGATCGCGCCCCACGTCGGAGAGGAGCGGGAGGGCGGCCTTGGCTTTGGGGCTCGGGCTGGGTCTGCACCTGGAGGGCGGACTGGATACCCCCGGTCGCAGGAGCGGCCGCCGCCGCCACCGCCGGCGTGGGGAGGGAGGCGGTGGCTGCGGCGAGGTGGAGGTCATGGCCAACGCCATGGCCGCGCGAGTGGGATTGGAGATGGAGGAGACCGTTTGAGTGGCGCGGATACGACTTGCAAGTGTAGGACTCGCGGAGGCGCGTCCTTTTTTCCGGATATTTTTTCGTTCGGATAGGAATCCGACGGTGGGTACAGCCGATCAGTAATTAATCATATTTTATAGTTTACTACTCCCTCCGTCTAAAAAAAGACAAACTGTAGGTTTTCGTGTCCAATTTTGACTGTCCGTTTTATATGAAATTTTTTTATAATTCGTATTTTTATTTTTGTTAGACGATAAAACATAATTAATATTTTATGCGTGACTTGTCTTTTTAATTTTTTTTTCATAATTTTTTTAAATAAGACGGACAGTCAAACATTGGGCACGGAAACCAGGTTTGTTTTTTTTGAGACGGAGGGAGTATATTCGGTATTATTATTCATATGATGCAGAAATAAATTAAAAAACAAAACCTATAGAAAGCCAATACACTTGTATCAAAACGGTGCTCGGTCGACCGTTTTCACTCTTCGGTGCAGGTGCACACTGGTGCAGCCGTGTTCGTAAACAATTGGACAGGCAGTGTCACGTCGTGGTGCGGTGCGGTGCGGGCGTACGGCCGTCTACCGGAGTCCGGCGCGGCGGTGGTCGATGCGGACTGGATCAGTGGCCCAACCGGGCGGCCCATCCACAATAACCGAAGGCGTGACGGCTCCACCCAAAATCGAGAGCCACACACACACAGTCCAGCGCCGCGGTCGCCGTCGTCCTCTCCTCTCCTCTGCGTCCACGCAACGGGAGGCGATTTTTGCATCGCGAAGCCTTCCCGGCGAGTCACTCTCCCTCAGAGACCGCACGCCTCTGCCTCTCCCCAGCCACTACCCCTCCCCTCCCCTCTCCTCTCTTCCCCACGCAACCGGGGATAAAAAAAGGGGAGCTTGAACGGGACGAGGCATTCAGGCATGGATACTCTGCTGGGCTCCGGGAGATTCTTGGCGCGGCGGCCCCCGCTCGCGCTCGCCCCTCGCTGCTCGCGAGGATCCCCGGAGAAAGGCGGCGGCAGCGACAAAGGTATTAAAGCGAGTCCATGGTGGTTTACGTTGAATTGCTTGGTGTTTGTTGAAATGCCGATGTGGAGTAGCCTACTTACTAGAGTAAAGCTGCGATTAGCCCTTAGCGGTGGTTCTGTGCGCTTGTGTTTAGGAATACCGTAGTGTTAGCTCGGCTTCACATCAGATTACAATTGTCTGTTTTTACTCGTTCAGATATGATCTGCGTAGTGGATCACTCAAGCCGGGTAATCCAAGCACCCGATTCATTTGATTTGCTGAGACTTGAGCTGGATGTATAGTTCACTGCCTTATGTTGACTTCGAGGCTTCGAGCGCTAGTGATCGCTCTAATTCCTATGTGCACAGTGCGCTCACAGGTCACAGCTGGGTTTTGAATAAAGAAAAATGCATGACGAAAACTATGCCGATCATGAATTATGAGTTGTCTATCATATGGGTGGGAAAAGGGAAATGCCGTGCTTTTACAGAGGTCTGATCACCTCTGCATTCAACCTCCTTGTGAAAATTGAGTGAGACTGTGCGATCCTGTACTTATATCCCGACTTGGTCTGATCTGATAGTAGTCAGTTGCTGCTGCATCATTGCTATTTGGTGTGCGGCAACTTTGTTTTGACTGTGCTTGACACATTTGATTGCCAAATCCCTGCATGTGTAATTTATTTGTTTTTTTTTACGGAAGTGCTCTACCTTGTAGTCATTTCATTAATAGAAATGAGGTTTACAGATTACATATTAGGTGTGGGAATTATCAGAGAGGGAAAAAACAAAAAGAAATGGGAGAGGGGAGAACAAACCAAAACAGAAAAAGGGAGAATTTACACATATATGTACATGAAGCTTTCTTCTAGGAAAGCCTTGAGCACCAGGATTGAATTTTTTGTTTATTTGTTTCATTGGTCCTTAGGCTCCAGAGCTGTATGGTGTCTGAGACCTGTTGAATAATGCATTGTAGACTGTCAAACTGTCTTTCGAACACCCGGTTGTTGCGTGCTTTCCATAGAGTATACGCGCAAGCAGCAAACCAAACTGGCTCAATTCCTTTCAATGTTTGATTTCTGTCCATAATTGCCTGGAGGAAGGCTGAGGTAGAATCTGAGCTGTTGGCTAGCTGTAGTAAAGTGTAATTTATTTGTAACTAGGTGTTTCTGCAATCAGGAATTTTACATTTGAGTTTGAGCTATCCTTTCTGCCCTTAATCCACATATAGATCGATGTTTATTCATAATTAACTAGTAAATATTGGGTATTGCCGTATTTGTCTATCCATCTGACTTAGTGGATATTGGGTAATGTGTTGTACATTTCTTTCTAGCAGGTAGATTGGAAGAGCAAATCCTATCATAGATAATGATAATATCCTATTGCTTAAGCCGATCCTGTGAAAAAAAAATGGCTATGTGACTTCAATAGTAGTGTCAAAAGAGAAAGAATGTTATAATTTGATGGTAGGCCACTGTTTTCACACAACCATTTGTTTTCAAAGGGCGCCGTGCACGTTAAGAGATCATCCATTTCTATTGATCAAATTGTATATAAATATGTTTTAATAAATTAAAACTCCAGGATAAACAAAAGGAAAGGAACACTAATTAAACTAGAGGGTCGGTTAGAGCACGTTTCATCCTGTTGGCCCTGTAAAGTTCCTTTGTGTTAGTCCTAAAAGCAAGGCAGCCATATTATGAAAACTACGGTTCGCTGATTAGAACAGATCCAAACTGCCGAGCCTCCCAAGTATTCCCATGGAACATTTTGCACATCAGACCTTTGAATTGCTTACAGTAAAACAACTGTATTTTTTATTACCCCAATATACTCTAACATTATTATGGTAGTCCAACACGCTGCATCTTTGGCTGAAGGGGCACTGAAAGAGGATAAGAGCTTTGTTCCAGTAAAGACCAGTGATAGTCTTCAAAATGAAAACTTTGTTTTCAAGACTTGTTCAAGTGTTTAGTTCTCTCAATAGTCAATGGTATCCTATCCATTTCTAAAAGAAATAGTCAATGTTATCTAGCAGAACTTTGTGTCTAAGACACCTTATAGACTCCAAAGCAACAAAGTCACTTGAACAAGGGCTTTCATGAAGAACCATGTGGATTTATCTTGGGATCCTGTATTGTTGTGCTATCTTTTTGCTTTGTTCTATTTCTTAACTATGTATGGTTTGTATTGAAGTACAACTATTATGCAGTTAACAGGAACTAGTGTACAATTTTGCTTGTCAATTTGTAGGTAAGATTTATTCTAGAAACTATGTGTAGTTTATATTGGTATGTGCTAAGCATGTTCTGACTTGTCAGGTGACACATCATCCACTGACTGGGACAAAGCTTGGTCTACATTTAAGAAGAAAGGGAAGAAGACCCTATTTTCGGAGTTCTCACCAAACAAGTATGTGAGCTGGAACCCACGACGCAGCGAGTATCCATTATCAGAAGAGGTTGATCCAATCAGAAGAACGGAGAGGTCTAACCTAATGTTGTGGACAAGTCCGAAATTTACCTTGGTAATGGCGATTGTCATCGTCTCGACATTGCTAATCTATACAATAGTTGTTCCACCCAAGTAACTGAAGAAGTGACAGGCATGAGTTGAACTGTAAGAGAAACATTCTACTTGCATGTTTGTACTGTACATTTGTTTGTACTAGTATTAGACAACTATAGCGTTTCTATTGGCCTGTTGCTTTAATTGCATGCAGATGGACCATGATAGTGCATCCTTCACTTCTCTTTGTTGGTTTTCTTCACTTTGTGTTTCAATTGGCTCCTCTCTAGAAAATCTTTTTGTTAAGGAACTCCTCACTAGAATTTTATCACAGCCCAGAATTATGGGGAGGGACTAAGTAGAATATTATGTTGATCAGTATTCAGTTAGAATATATAAGCCACGCTACTGATGTGTGTTAGTATCAGAAAAAATCTCAGTTACTGTGTGATCGTTGGATAGTAAGTAGTTGTAAAAATGTTGTATGAATCAATGGTGTGTAGTATTTATTGTTGGGGTTGCTTGGGCAAGTGGGCATGTGCAAAATGTCTAGTGCTGTATGTAATACATACTGATTCAGCCCATAAGAAGCACGTTTTTCATTACAGCCAATTTGAAGTCAAAAAAGCCAGTTCATTAGCTTCGTATAATAGTAATGCCTAGATAAACAGGAATCTTGCTTAGATGTAAAGCTATTTAATTAACCTTCCCGTCCACTGAATAATTAGCGTCTGTCGCTTATATTGGAGGCATAGAAAATAGTCTGTCAATATCTTATAGTTAAACGATTCGATGGAATGCGAATCTGAATAAACATGGTCAGGGCATCACATGTAATCTTGAAGACTTGGTCGTGACATCTTTATATTCAGCATCCGGGATTAAATCCGACGATGGATTTGTCATCTTTGTGTATAATAAAAAGGATTTTTTTTTCTTTTTTTATAATTGAACAATGCCCAAGTTTTATAGGTTGTGGCACTGTTTGTCCAGTGAATTCATTGTTCAGGGGCTCTGGATGGATTTTGTGTTGTCTGTACTGAACCTTCGGAGAATATTTTGTCCAGCGAATTCATTGTTTACATTTTCAGCAAAAGCCTGTACATTGCATGATTTAGTTACTATCATGATTACTGCAGTAACCTTTTTACTGCTGGTTTTATCAATTACTTTTTCTAGCCTGACATTGCCTTCGATTCCCGACAGTTCTGAACAGAAATTTGTCCATATATATCGAATGCGAAGACTTTTTCTCCCGATGTGAACAGAACAGGCTGGATTGGTCACGAGGTCAGTGTGGAATTCAAGTCAACTGCCACATCTGGACATCTAAAATAGCTTTCTTGTAGCATATCTTGTCCATGATCTGCTGTATTTTAATTCTCTGATTGTCATTATTGTACAGTATTGTCTTCAGATTCTTCTTCTTTTAGGCTGAGTTCGGATGGGGGAGATGGGAAACTAACTCCTGTGCACGGAAAACGGAGCGGTCCATTAACACGTGATTAATTAAGTATTAGCTAATTTTTTTTTCAAAAATGGATTAATTTGATTTTTTTAAGCAACTTTCGTATAGAAACTTTTTGCAAAAAACACACCGTTTAGTAGTTTGAAAAGCGTGCGCGCAGAAAACGAAGGAGAGGGGATGGGAAAAGGTGCATGCGAACACAGCCTATAGTGCTCTTTGTAATTGTGTCTGCGCAAATGCGATGCCCGTGCGGCCGTGCCTAACGGAGAGCCTCTCCAGAAATAATTTGAATGCTGATACAGAAACTCGATTTCAATTAGTAATCTCTATTTTCTTCTCCCACGGGCATGAATTCAATCCAGAATTCCAGACAATGATGTACTTTAAAATTGCAATCCAGCTGGAATGTTGAACCCTGAAGTCAGAACCTGGCCAGTTAGTGCCACAACCCAGGCAATATTCAGACAGTGATCCCTTGTACAAACAAGCCAACCCAGGGACACCGTTTTTTAAGATGAATATTGCTAACAAAACCTGCTTGCTGGTGAGCAATACGAGTGTTCTATTAAACTGGGCTAGTGTTCATCGAATGTCATTTGAAGGTAGCGTGTCCAGGAAGCATGCCAGATGATGTCATAAACCTGGGAGACACCACATACAAATCCTTTACCTAGGTGTACATTTTTTTAGTTTCAGATTTGCTCCTCGTAGTCCTATAAATTTTGTAAGTTGACCGCTGGAATTCTAGAAAGACTGGCTCTGAAAGGGGAACGAATCTTGATGGGCTTGGACGCAGATGGCTGTGGGTGGATGTCCCCTTAGGTTATCAGAATCCGCCCCCCTCTGAAAGGTGTAAAACCAACACGAAAAGAGTCGAGAAGAGTTCAAACTCTTCAAAATTCACCCGAAAGCTAGGCGCTTTGGTTCCCAAGGAAGCTTGCCTCCCACACTACCCAAGCCTCTATAAAAAGGCCAAGACTCAGTCTGCAACCGCCACACTACTCAAATCACACACACATCGCCGCTTGCTTCTGCTTCTTCTTCTTCCCTCCCCTGCAACCATCCTCCATCAGACGCAGCCCTGAGCAAGAGGCGGCAGCCACCACCAGCGGCGGCGGCGGCGACAGCGACAATGGAGCGGCAGCAAGACACGAGGCGGCCACTGCCGCGCCGGGGCCAGGTCAAGGCCGGCATCTTCGCCAGCCTGTTCCGGTGCATCTTCCCCGGGGAGAAGGAGGCCAGCCAGAAGCTCAAAGAAGGCAACAGCGGCGGCGGCGGCGGCGGCCGCCGCCGCGTGGTTCCCCGTGGTTGATCGAGTCCGTGGGGAGGAGACGGAGGGGGGAGAGCATCTGAAATGCTGAAGAATCAAGAATTGGCGTCATTACTCATTACCGACGATTCCGAACGGGAACACGCGCGCGTGCCGCGTCGCCGGTTCCCGAACCGGAATCTGCTATTGCTGAAAGGATAAAGAATTCAAGATTGGGATTGGGGGGGTTTGAGGACGGTGCAGCCGCGGTGGCCGCTTGCCGCCAGGTAGGTCGGTGTGTGCGTGCGTGGAGTTGAATGTCTGAATTTCCGTGCCTTTTTGGCGAGCGTACTGTGTATATGTTTCATGGATGGAGTCTGTAAATTGCGGAACCGATCAGAAATGCTACAGGTGTCCCTGATCTCGGTATATCCTGAGCATTGTACTGTAATTTGGGGGTGATTAAATTTCTGATTTGCGTCTGCAAATTTCTTGTTTCAGACTTTCGGTGTAGTTCTCTGCTTATCACTTTATTGGTTGTACATGCCACATTCGACTCTTGTTTCAGGCTTTCTCGTCTGCCACATTCGAATCTGAATCCTTCCCCAATGATACAGATGACGTCACTGCATAGCGCCAGCGCATCTATATGCTCAATTAGGAATTCAGACAGCGTAGTATCAAATGCCTTCTCCCGCAAGCTGTATCTGACTAACCATATACTCCCGCAAGGAGTTGTACAGTAAAAGTAAAACTACCCGATAAAAAGAAAAAAAAAAGCCCAAGAAAGTGGCGGTGCTTTTGCTCGGGCCCCACCGGCCAAACCCGGTACGGACTGTAACGATTAACAAATCGTCACGATTCGTTTCATCCATCCCTGCGGGCTGCGGCGCCGGAGGCCTCTGCTTTTTTTTTCGTGGCGTGAGGCGCTTTGGCACTTGTCCCACTCCGCACTCCGGAGCACGTTGATCATTTTTTTCTTATCTTTTTTATGATATTGGCCAATCTCGAGGGGAATAGTTGAGCAGTTGAGATGCTTGAGATCACTGCTTTCAGTAACCTTTTGGTCCAACAAAAAAAAGCAGAGCTCTTCCTCCTGTGGGTCTTGTTCTAGTACATGTCCATTTCTTAAGGAGGAATGCTATTTTTTCCCGCGTGGTAAATGAATGCATTCAGGGTTGGATACAATGAACAGGGAGGACTGAACACTATTGTCTCTGCCTACCATCATTTCGTTGTTTTGCCATCATACCATTTACGATGTACTGGATCGCGTCGGCGTCACAATCCAACGGTGGGGGCCTCCACCACTTGGCCTTTCTTGGAGCGGAGGCTTATACCGAGAGAGAGAGAGAGAGAGAGAGAGAGAGAGAAACCGAGAGACTTCATGGCGAAGAAAGAAAACTTCACCCGTTGATTTCAGAAGTCCGTCTCCGTTCCGTTCAAAACAGAAGAATAAGTCCGTCTCCTGGGCTTGCTTACATAGACGACATGAGCACGGCATGACGGCAGTGCTGACGTCCACGTGTTTCTTTTTGGGTCCATGTCTCGGCCCACATCCAGCTGGGATCCATTGGCAGCTGCAAAATCCCGGATACCAGAGGTCCAGAGCATCATCACCATCAACAGCTCTCTCATGTACTAACGTGATTACTGGTTAATTCGTCTAGTAGATCTCCATCACTTGGAGTTCAAAAAACTAAAGAATCGATCTCCATCTCGTGCAAAGCCAACCCAAAGTGCAAGGAACAGTTATTATCCACCGCATCGAACAGCCGATGATTAGCTGGCTTAGCCGGCCGCCGCACTCGTGAGTCGTGACCGACTTATCCGAACAAGTCCCAGTCTGGTCATGCGGCTCTAACCACAAGGGAGAAGATGACTAGAGTAGATGAGAGATAGGGTACCTGAGAACACGTTTCAGCCATCAACTCGTCTCGTCGTCCTCATCGGCTCATCGCTGCTGCTGGGTGCGTGCGATGTCACGGTCGGTCGCGGTGGGGGACGTGACGTCGCGCGCGTGAGCAAATCCGGCCTGCGGCCGGGAGCGCGACGTACGGAGACGTGCGTCAACTCGCACATGTGCAATGTATCAAAAGTGGAAAAGTCCCGAATCCGCGAATATACATACCCCGCACGGGGGGTCTAATGGGCGATCGATCGCCGCGATCGGTCCCGCCCCTTGCTCCCTTCTCCCCTTCCTCCTCCCCTTCTTTTCCTATTACAGTAAAAAAAAATTTTAAAAAAATAAAAAGTTAGAAAAATTTATGTATAACAAATTTGAATTCAAATTTAAATTTGAATGGGGTATGTAAACTTTTGACTTATAAACTTTGGGTCTATAAACTTTAGGTGTATAAACTTTAGATGTATAGAAATACTATATATAGAAAATATTTGGATTCAAATTCAAATTTAAATCGGGTATATAAACTTTAGGTGTATAAACTTTAGATGTATAGAAATACTATATATGAAAAATATTTAAATTCAAATTCGAATTTGAATTGGATATAATTCAAATTCAAATTTAAATCGGATATATAAACTTTAGGTCTATAAACTTTAGTTCTATAAACTTTAGGTGTATAAACTTTAGATGTATAGAAATACTATATAAAAAAAATATTTGAATTCAAATTCAAAGTTAAATCGAATATATAAACTTTTGACTTATAAACTTTTGGTCTCTAAACTTTATATGTGTAAACTTGAGGTGTATAAACTTTAGGTGCATAAATTTATTAAAATAGGAAAGTAATGCGGTGCCAAAAAAAAAAGACATGTTTTCTTTTTTTGGCACAATCCGGCCCAGGTGGGGTTGGCCGAGGCTCAACAAATTAAGGTTGCCCGGACCCCAACAGTTCTTTGGCACACCTGCCTCTAAAAGACTAGTCCAATAGAGGAAGGGTGACTCTCCTTTCTCTTCCCAAGCTAAGCAGGGTGGGATTATTCAGAGGCTCACACAGTCGCCGTCCGATTTTATCGTCTTTGCCAACGGGTAATAGTGTAGGATGTGCTCATCACCCAGTAGCATTTCCGCCCCGCGCGAGTCCAGGACCAGGGACGTGGCGGCCGCGCGTGATGGGCTTCGGTGGAGGGGATCCGGCGGGGGATCGGAATCGTGCGAAATTTGGCCTCATCCGACCGGGAAAACTCCAGGCTGGAACAGAGAAAGTCGTGCCGGGCCACGTATGGGCGTTCAACCAACGAGGCCCACGGCACTGACAGGAGAAGTGGACATCTCACACACGTGCACACACAAGATCCAAGAAAACGTCGAGGATGCAACGATCAACTTTGATTAAATGTACGTGACTGGCGTCGTTACGTGGGGGAAAAAAAAAGAAATTCTAGAAGTGATCGTGCCAGTCATGTTTAATCGTGCATACTTACTCGGGAAACATATTACTAGAGAGCCTCTCATCGGTAGTGATTTTTTCTTTTCTTTTGCCCATTTTCCTGTGACGGTCGATCCGGGCCGTTCATGCTTGATCGGGACGGTTGGGGAGAGCCAGAATCCACAACATATCCGCGGCGTGTGCCTGTGTGAGACGTAAGCGGAGGTTCGTCACCCAAATGACGCACGACGCAGCGTGAGCACTGGCAAACCGACCCACTTGCATCTCCGTTGATCCATTACAATGTTTCTCCAGCTAGCTTACACGCACCGAAACCGATCCACCACTATTTTTTTTTAATCAGCGACATGGCATTGCATTAGTAAACTACAGAGTGGAGTACTAAA